TTCATTATTTTTATTAAATTGAATACGAATATTTATTTTTTCCTATTAATTCATTATCATTGTATTTTGTTTATTTCCATTATTTTTATTATCATCAGTCATTTCATATTTCTTTATTGTATACTTTATCAAATACATATTCATATAAAATGATTTTGGATGAATGAAACTGTTTAATTCAACAAATTTATTTATTTTTAACAACAATTAAATGAAATGTTGGTTTATAATATTTCATTGGAAGGTATTAATTAAGCATTTGATAAATAACAACCATTGAATAGTGAAAATATTACATAATTCAAATTAACAATGATTTGAAGAATAAGTGAAAGTAAAAGTTCAATGGTAATTTTATTTTAAAGAAGAATATAATTAATATAAATGATAATCCAAAATAATCCACACAAGAAACAATATGACATAACTTAAAAGATGATAGAAATAATTGCATTATAACTGAATTTTCAATGAATAAACAGAGGAAATGAGAGATAGAATGATGTTACTGTATTAATTCAGAAAATATTTTCATTTGATATTTTCATAATGAATGAAATACTATAACTTGTACAATTTATATTCTTAATCTCTCATTGTAAAACAATAAACATCATTTTGTGTATGTTTATAATGTATTCGAAAAATAAATAAATGATAAAATATGAAATGAACAAAGAATAAAACAATTAAATTCAAATATATTTGTTTATTCATTTGATTTAAAGTTTATTAATTAATTTTAACATTAAAATAATATTTAAAAATAAATGGTAAGTTAAATTTAAACATAAAGAAGTTAATTGATTCTTATATTGTTGATATTCATTTTCATGTAGAATTTGAATAAAATGATATTAAAATAATAAAGACAGTGTTAATTGTACAAAGATACAAGATTAAAATGAGTTTTATCAATAATTTAATGTAGAATGAGTTTCTGATAATATTCAACAAATTGTTAAAGTTATATATGATATACTTCAACTAAAATACTTTTGAAATGTGTGTTATATGAATAAAATAGTATAACCATACCACAATAATTTGTTTGAAAAAGAAAAAAGTTGTAAAAGATAAAACAAAAAGAGTTGAATAAATTTATTAAATAAATGAAAATAGTGATATTCAATGTATTTTATACATTAACAATAAAAATGAAAAATAATAATACAAAAAGAGAAAATACATAAGAAAAAAAAATGAAAGTGAATATGATTAGAATCAAGTTATGATTTTAATGAAACAATGATGAACATTTACTCTTTCTTGTATCTTTACTCTTTTGAGAAATATATTTCTTTTTATATTCAATAATCTCTATTTTGTTATTGTCGATTTCTTATCGTTGAATGTTCCATTTACATATGTGTTGTATTTTCAACATTTCTCTCATTTAAACATCATTTAATTCACTTAATTAATATTAACCAATTTCAATCATGAAAAGTATAAATATTTTCTTTTATTTATTATTTTTTGTTTATTTTATTTCTTTTTATTAAAATATTTATGATGATAAAAATGAATGAAATGATTCATATATTATTACAATGATTAGTGTATCTCTGAATATACAAATACTACATATTTCACGTATTCGTCTATCATTTATATTTATTTATTGATATTATTTTCTCTTTTGTTATTATGTTTAATACTTTGGTGACATTTCCTGTTTTTCATTTTTTAGTCGAAAGAAAATAAAGTAAAAAGAAAGTGAAATGAAATAAAATAAAAATGATAATATTTTATATCACAATCATTACCCCCCTTCAATGTTATTATACTTTCAGAACAATGATGTTTGAAATGATGAAACAAAGAAATATTATTAACGATAAAATTAAAAGAATAAATAAGAGAGGAGTTTGAATGAAATAAGTCAATTGATTTTATCTATTTTTAATGTAAAGAAATTCAAGTCAACAAAAATGGATAAAAAGGAATGAATAAGAAGTTATTATCATTATATTTTTATAATGACGAAAAGTTTATTGTAACTTTATTTCATGAATATGTAATTAACGATAAAAATATACCGAAATAAATAAAAATAAAACTGAATAAAATGTTAAAAACAGTGTTTAGTATCAAAGCAAATGATGTTTATAAGAAATAACCAATCAGAAAAGAAGTACCACATTTAACTAAATACCATATTTTGCCGAATGGTATATATTTAAACAAGAAAACAAACTTGTTAAACATTCAATGTCAAGAGTAGTAGTTAGATTTATTTTAAATGGAAAATTCCTTGCGACTAAACCACTAAATTCACAAGACAAATTGAAAACAGTAAGAGAGAAACTAAAAGAAAAGATGTCTGATTCTCAACACTTTTTAACGAAAGACGGAGATCCAATTGATAAGAATGATGAAGAGTGTTTTACTATAGGAGATGTAATTGATGAAACAAGAATAATAAATATTAAAGGAACAGAAGATAAAAAAGGAATAAGAATAAAGATAAATGATAAGATAATTACCACTATTGAAATTGATACTAAAACATATTTAAGTGATGTTAGAAAAATAGTTCAAAACATTCCAGATTCAGCATATTTCTATACACTTGACAATGATAAAATTGAAAGAAATACTGAAGAAGAATTTATAGTAGAAGATATAATAAATAATGAAGAAATTAATCTTAAAGAAGAGAAAGAAAATACACCAGAAATAAATGATATAACAATTGGAATATGTTTGAATGGAAACCCATTGATAAAAAAACAACTCAACAAGAATATTTCTCTTTCAGATGTTAGAAAAGAATTTGAAAATGAAAAACAAATTCCAAAAGACTTTGCTTTTGAAGATCAAGAAGGATTTAAAATATCAAGTGGTGATGAACAAACGTTAAAATTAACGTTTATTTTGCATGATAACAAAGTCAACATAACAACAGAAGGAATTGATGTATCTGAACCAAGTACTACCACATCTTTTCTAGGTTCACCAAATAATAGTACCATACCTGGCAATTCTTTAACTAATAGTATCATGTCTGATATTTCTCCAAATAATACCAAAACAGAAGAAACTGATGCTTCACCAAGTAATACAGACGTGTCTGAACCAAATATTCCAATTGAAGGAAGTATCAAATTTGATATTTCACTACATAATACTAAAATGGAAGTTGCAGAAACTTCACCAAAAACTACAGATGTGTCTGAACCGAATATTCCAATTGAAGGAAGTATAAGATTGGAAAATCATGAAAATGGAAAGTTGAAAATATATTTATATCCAAATCAACCATTCGATCAAAAAGATGAGATTGATGCAATTGCTATTTTGGTTGTTGGTGAAACAGGAAGTGGAAAAACTACATTATTGAATAGTTTTGTAAATGCAATATATGGAATAAAAATAACAGACGACTTTAGATATATAATTATAAATGAAGATCATTTAGAACAGTATGGAGATATGTCTGTAAGTCAAACAAGTCAAGTAACAATTTATAATATTAAAAAAACAAAAAGAACACCACCAATCAAAATAATAGATACACCAGGATTTGGTGATACAAGAGGACCTGAGTGGGATAAAGAAACTATTAAGCAAATAAAAGAAGCATTTGAAACAAAAGTATTTGATTTAAATGCTATTTGTTTTGTTGCACAATCAAGTAATGTAAAACTAACAGCAAGTCAAAAGTATATATTTGGGAATATTATCAACTTATTTGGGAAAGATGTTAAAAAGAATTTTATTGCAATGCTTACATTCTGTGACGGTGAAGAGCCAAAAGTTATAAATGCATTACAATCAAAAGAATGTGTTTTCAGTACAATTATTCCAGAAATAGATGAACCATGGTATTTAAAATTTAATAATTCAGCTATTTATAGTGACAAGACAGAAGATGTATTTACACAAATGTTTTGGAAATTAGGTATGAAGAGTTTTGATGACTTTATAACAAAATTAGAAATATTACCGAGAAAATCATTAGAGAAATCGAAAGAAGTATTAAGGAAAAGAGAATGTATTAAGGCTCAAATTGAAGGAATAAGAATATCATTAAATAGTCAATTGGCAAAAATGAATGAGATTAAAAAGATCTACAAACAGTTATATTTGAATCAGGATAAGGTTAATAAAAATGAAAACTTTACTTTTACTACAGAAGTAGAAGTACAAATTAAAATTCACTTAAAATCAGGAGAATATGCAACGAATTGTAATAAATGTCATAAAACATGTCATCACCCATGTCATGTTCCATCTTTAATTTCATATTTTACAAATATACTTTGTACATGCATTGATTTTTATGGGTATTGTAAAGTATGTGGTTGTCCTTCATCAGAACACGTAAATGAATCACGTAAATTTGAATATGTAATTGAGAAAAAACAAGAAACAATAGAAGAAGTATATAAAAGATATAATGAAGGTAAAAAAGGTGTTGCTAATGCAGAAGCTATGTTAAAAAAGTTAGAAGATGAGTATGATAAAATTCAAACGGAATGTTATTATAAAGAACAAGAAATTATCGAATGTGTTAATACATTATCTGAAATTGCATTAAATGGTAAAGTTACTAGTTCAAATGAATATTTAGACATGTTGATTAAAACAGAAAATGAAGAAAAGAAACCAGGATATGAAGCAAGAATTGAAGGATATAAAAAATTAAAAAAAGCAAATGAAATGATAGAAGATATTATGAAAAATTCAACAACAAAAAAGAGCAAGGAAGATATCAGGGCAGAAGTTGAAGCTACAATGAAAAAGTTGAAAGAAGAAGAAAAATCAAAAATGAAAAAAATTGATGAAGTTTGTGTTATTTGTT